CTTTTCCATGAGACAAGGTTGCCTCCCACAAACGTGCAATATCCCGTTGTAGACTTACGATCAATGGAATTGCCAGCCCAATCTGCATCACAATAACCTGTAATCTGAGTGTTTGCATTGTTCTTCATGATTATACCACGTCCCACAGAACCTTTTAGATACCGAAGTATCCTTTTGACCAGGTTAAAGTGTTCCATCGTGGGAGAGTGCATAAATTGGCCAACAATACTGACAGCATACGTAATGTCGGGCCTTGTGATGGTCAGATATATCAACTTACCAACCAACCGCTGATAATAGCTTATGTTCGGAAGAGGTTGACCCTCTAAGCTGAGCTTAAGTTTAATGTCGAGAGGTGTAGGGACCGGTTTAGCATCACTCATGTTTGCTTCCTTAAGGAGATCAAGAACATATTTGCGCTGGTTAAGGAATAAGCCCTTGTGAGAGGTAGCCATTTCGATGCCAAGGAAGTATCTCAGTACACCAAGATCTTTTATTGCAAAGCGTTGCTGAAGAGAATGCTTGAGTTCTTTGATTTCTTCAGGGTTATCTCCGGTGATGATCAAGACATCAACATACACAAGAACAACCAATGTACCAGCAGTGCCTGAGCGTACAAATAAAGAAGAGTCCGCATTGCTTCTTCCAAAACCAACACTGATAAGGACTGAACTAAGCTTAGCATACCAGGCTCTCGGTGATTGTTTAAGGCCATAAATTGATTTGTGCAGTTTACACACAACATCCTGTTTATGACTTTGAGAGTGACCCGGTGGTAATCTCATGTAGACGTCTTCTTCAAGCTCACCATGTAAGAAGGCATTTTTTACATCCATTTGATACATAGGCCATCCTTTGTTGACAGCCACGGACAAGAGTACACGCACTGTGTTCATCTTTGCAACCGAGGTAAAGGTTTCCTTGTAATCCACATCAAATGTTTGAGTGAAGCCCCGGGCCACTAATCGTGCCTTGTGTCTTTCTATAGACCCATCCGAGTTGAATTTAATCTTGTATATCCACCTGCAGCCTACTATTTTCTTTCCTTTGGGCAGTGGCACAATGCTCCAGGTTTTATGTTGATCGAGTGCATGCAATTCATCCTGCATGGCTTGCTTCCACACCTGTGATTGGTTAGCTTCTTGAAATAATTGAGGCTCTTCATGTGCAGATATATTACTCAAATAGGCAGTATAATTAGGTGACAACTTTTGGTAAGAACAGTAGTTGGATAAAGGGTGCTTGGGCTTGTACGTAACAAAATCTTGCAGACTTGCTGGTGGGTGCCTCTCACGAGTTGGATTTCGTCGAGGTATGATAGGAAGAGACTCCTCTGAGGATTCTTCAGGATGAATATTGTGTAGAGCTTCATCTTCCACAGGCATGTTGTTGTCGTCATATGGAGCCGGTGGATTTGGGGCCACAAGATCCATCGTGTGAGGTTGATCACCCACATTGTTGGGTATCTCAGTCCTTGGCAGTGGAAACATGTCCAAGCTAATCTCCCCCTGACTTGTACTATCCAGAGACTTACTGTAATAAGAATTAGTTTCATGAAATTGAACATCCTTTGAAACAATTAATCTCTTAAGTTGTGGATTGTAACACTTATACCCTTTTTGTGTGGACGAGTAGCCAAGAAAAATGCATTTAGTTGCCCTAGGATCAAGTTTGTCTCGATGTAAGGGCTGAACATGAACAAAACAGATGCATCCAAAAACTTTAAGGTGAGACAAGTCCACCTTTCTGTTCTTGACTATCTCTATTGGAGATTTGAACCCCAAAACCCTACTAGGTAACCTGTTGATCAGGTAAGCTGCTGTCATGACGCTTTGAGACCAAAAACGTTTTGGTACATTCATTTGTAACATCAATGCCCTAGTTTTTTCAAGGAGATCACGGTTTTTCCTCTCGGCAACACCATTTTGTTGGGGTGTGCCAACATAACTAGTTTGATGTATGATGCCATTGTTACTCAAATATTGAGTCATGACTTGGGACATGTATTCGGTGCCATTATCAGACCTTAGGGTTTTGATTTGAGAAGAAAATGATTTTTAACAAGGTTGTGAAAGTCCTTAAACACTTCCATCACCTCACTTTTTGATTTTAACAAATATAACCAGGTGGTTCTTGAATAATCATCAACAAAAGTTATGAAATATTTATAACCATCAAAAGATTCACTTGTTGTTCCCCATATATCAGAGTGTACAAGCTCAAAAAGGTGAAAAACTCTAGACATCGAAGACCCTAGAGGTAGTCTTGTTGCCTTTGACAAATGGCAAGTTTCACAGTGGGTTGATTCTTTGCCTAAATCAGGAAATAAGGTGGACAAGATAGGTTAAGATGGATGGGCTAGTCGCTGGTGCCACAATGAGGCCTTTTGAATGGAGGTATGGATGGACTTTGACTTGGCATGAAACCCACAGGAAGAGTTTTTCGATATGTAATAGAGACCATCACTGTAAAACCCCTCACCAATCGTCCTCTTGGTTATACAATCCTGAAAAATGACAGTTTTTGGTGAAAAAATGGCCAAACAATTTAAGGAATTTGTGATTCTTCCCACTGAGAGAAGTTGAAAAGGAAAAGATGGGACATATAGGGCCATAGACTCTATTTGATCTGATATCAGGTGAATTTTTCCCTTTCCTACAATCCTAGCACCTTCACCATTAGCAACAGATACATGTGAAGGATTATGTAGTTTCTCAAATTTATGTAACTTTGACATTTGATTTGTCATATGGTCTGTGGCACCAGAATCTACAACCCAAAAATCATGTAACTCATTTATTTTAAGAGCAATTTGGAAAGCAGTTATAATACCTTTCAAGTCTGTCTGAGGTACACAATCAGCATCAGCTAAAAAACCTGCAAATTTGCCCATCAATGCAGTAGTACTTCCATCTTCATGATCAACAGATCCCTCATCTCTTCCCTTCTTTTGTTGGAGATACGCTGCGAACTCATTTAACAGGGTGGCAGGATTTGCAGTAAACTGTTGATAGGTATCGAAACTGTTGATAGATGAAGATGTTGCAGTGTTGGCATGAGGGTATGCTCGACTTGTCTTTGGTGCGGATTTATCCTTCATGAAGTCAGGTTTGAGTTCTGGATGTAGGATCCAGCACTTGTCTCTCACATGCCCGATGTTGTCACAATGTAGACACTTCAAATGAGGGTTTTTCCCTTTATACCTTTTTTCATTTGTCAGGTAAGCCCTAGCTTCTGTCACGTTGGTTTTTATACCATTGTTCATGACTTTTCTCCTTACTTCCTCACGTTGGATAGTTGCACAGACACTAGTGAAGGATGGTAGCTCCGGGTTCATGAGAATGTGACTTCTCAAATCCTCATATTCTGAGCTTAAGCTAGACAATAATTGAAATTTTTTATCTTCTTCAGTTCTTTTAAGGAGCAATGAGGAATCAGTTGTGTGAGGCCTGTACACATCTAACTCATTCCACATGCTTCTCAAGGAACCAAGATGTTGAACAAAGCTTTTACCTTCTTGCTGTATATTGGAGATATCCTTCTTGAGTTGAAAGATGCGAGCTGCATTGTTTTGATTGCCATACATCTCCTTCACGGTGGTCCAAAGAATGAGAGACGACTCAGAATAGCTGAAGATTTCAGCAACCTTCCTTTCCATAGAATTTAACAACCATGACATGACCAATTGATCTTTACATAGCCACCCTCCAAATTCTGGAGAAGAAGCATCTGGTGCAGGTTGACTGCCATTGATGAAACCTAGTTTGGATCTTCCACCGAGAGCAAGACTGACAGCCCTTGCCCATGGCAAATAATTAAACTCATTCAATAACACTGAACTGAGACGTTGGTTTGGATTGATATCCATTTCAGACGCGCTTATAGAAGAAGCAATGATGCTTACATCCTCTAGACTTCCATCTGCCATTGTTTTTGAAAGAAAAAAAAAATAAACACAGCAGTTTCGATATACAGAACAGGCTCAGAATGATGCCCGCTCTGATACCATGTTGAAGTTTGTGGTTTTCATTATATCAACCAGCATCCAAAGGTTACACAAAATATATAGAAGAGTTTGAGTGAGTTGCAAACTGCACTCAACACTCACGACAGCCAGCATAGGATGCCACACTAATCTCCTTAAATCATGCAAGACAGCTAATTGAGACATAGGGAGCCACACTAATCAGCCACACTAATCTCCTTAAATCATGCAAAGCAGCCGACATAGGGCCACACTAATCTTCCTTGAAATGAGGAGATAAGACCCTTACACAAGATGATAAGATCAAGAAAAATAGACAGCTATTAACTAGATAAAACCCTAATGAAGAGTAGTCATAAGTAACCGGAGGTCCTTCCTTCAATAGACAAACATTTCAAACCAAACTAAAAGCATAAACATGAATTTATTCTTGTCTCGACATATCTCAAGTCCAAGCATTCCAGACTAGAGGAAAATGTGGAGGGCTTATTAGGAACTACAGAACTGAAGGTGCAACAGTAGAGTCCTTAGAGACGCACAATGAAAGACGCAAAATGGTACTGACGGAGTCTGGAAAAATTCTTCTTCATCTACATTGATATGAAGATCAAGCATTTCCGTTTTACACCTCCCTGCAATTTCGACCCATGTCATCAGCCGAAATTACTCGTTCCTGCAGATCTAGGATGATCCTCTATGAACACAATAGCTCTCTCTCATCATCCCAGCCTTTCATGCTTTCCTCGTCACATTGACACATCCATCTAATACGAAAGCGCTGATCTTATTACCTCGGAGATGAATCTAGAACCTCCAAAGAATCCAACAACCTAATTCGCTTTTAAACCAAGTGGAGTCTTGTTAAACTTGGGTTGGATGGGGAGGGTGCATGGAAAGGTTGAACCAATAAGAGGCGACTGTTTTAGTTTCACAATCCGTGGCACAGGCAAAAGATGACATCCCATTCGTTAATTAAGGGTCGTAAAAAACACAACAGGCGGATATAATGACCATTTGATCAGAAAGCGCGACAAAAATGTAAATGTGAAACGAGGCGTCCCACGACTCCACCGCCTCTTTGAGCACTATATATAGTTTACGTACGGACGAAACACAGCGACAGGTGCGACCTAAGTTTCTGAGAACAGAATCTCCTATCTTCTCCAAACCTAATTTCGGTTTTCGAGATGGCCCGTACAAAGCAAACTGCTCGCAAGTCCACCGGAGGCAAGGCTCCAAGGAAGCAACTTGCGGCCACGATATATAGGAAAGCCGCCCCAACCACCGGAGGCGTGAAGAAGCCGCACAGATACCGCCCTGGAACCGTCGCTCTCCGTGAAATCCGCAAGTACCAGAAGAGCACAGAGCTTCTGATCAGGAAGCTGCCGTTCCAGAGGCTGGTTCGTGAGATAGCGCAGGACTTCATGACGGATCTGCGTTTCCAGAGCCACGCTGTGTTTGCACTGCAGGAGGCTGCGGAGGCGTACCTTGTTGGGTTGTTTGAGGACACTAACCTGTGCGCCATTCATGCCAGGCGCGTCACGATCATGCCCAAGGATGTCCAACTTGCCAGGAGAATCCGGGGCGAGAGGGCTTAAGGAAGGAAGAGATTGAAGCAAGATTTGATTTGATTTGGACTAGAAGAATATGTTTTGTTTTTAAGGTTTATAATTTGTCTGGTTAATTTGTAATCTTTAAGAATTCAAGACTTGTTTTCTTTGGTTGCAATTGCAATTGTGGTTGAACCTCTTCTAAGTTCTAATCCACTTGATAAATGCAGTTGTGTTTTTTTTTTTTTTTTTAAACAAAACCATAATCTCTTTAACCAGTTTCATCCCTATCCTCAACTACATTCTATTCAAATTCCTGTTATATAATTTAATTGGAAAATAATTGAAATTAGAAAATTGAAAGCCGCCCCTTCGCGGCAGGCGGTTGATTCCTCTATTGTCGCCGGGAGCTCTTAGTGCGGAGACGTTAGGATAAGAAAATAAAATAAAATGCTAAAGAAATTCAAAAATATTAAGGACTCGTTTGGTTGAAATCCCTACATATGGTTAATTATGCTGCTCTGCTGCATGATGATGTTGTTTTCATTTTTGCCGAGAAAGATTGTGTTAGTAGGTTAAATAGTTAGCAATTAAGAGGGAGGAGAATTGGTTAGGATCAAACCCACACCACAAATCATAGACATAAACACTTTCCGCCACTAGGTAAACACTGCACCTATTTTCACCTTTGCATTCTCATAAGTTGGTACAAAAAGGTCAGTAACTGACATAAAAAATTAAAACGTATTAATTCTGCTCAAATCAAATACATGAAGGTCAAATCAGTGAGGAAGCACAAGAAGAACAAAGACCAACCAAAATCTTGGAAGTTTGAGTTGAATCTAAAATCCGTTGATATCATAAGTTATCCTCCAGCTTATTGAGTTTGTGCTATCATTCTTACAACCACATTATCTTTGTTGTGAAGAAATGTTTGTTTCATTCAATTGACAACTAGATTGAGTAGCATTAGATCTAGTTGTCTCAATTTGGTAGAAGAAAGGCCTTATATGCGACTCAAATGAATATAATGACGTTACATATATATTTGTGGTAGATTTTGATACCTATTTGTAATTTTCGCATCTAGTGACTAGCTTTTATTGTGCTGAAATTTCACGTCAAAACTTCATTAATTCATTCCTCATTGTATTTGCTTCTTTGTATATATAGTTATACATTTTTTTTTCCAAGTATATATGATTATACATTGATATAGCACTGTATGTTGAATTGTTTATCAAAACTATGAGACCAATTGAAAGACATTTTCATACATACACATCTTATTAACTAGCTAGCTTGAAGCTATTAATGGTTGATTAGACAGATAATCACCTTCTAATCCATCCAATTTAGCAAGAACTCCCACTAATGTTGCAGTGTTATAAGTGCATGCCTCAGTCTGCATGTAATTCCACCTTTCATCTCTGAATCCATCGTTGCCATCGGGCCCACCAACCAGTGCCCCAACAAGCACGTTAGGGTTTGGACCCTGCCTCCCATACCAGTTATGGTACCCCTGAGTGCACCCAATGAAACCCTCGTTTTTCTTATACGAATCAATGGATGCTCCTCTGTGGTGCAGCCTTCGAGGGTATTTTGGTCCATACCCAACCAAGTAGCTCATGCCCATTGGATTGGACCCCAGAATGTAATCAACCTGTGATTTGGTAAACGATAAGATTTCTTGTGGGCCCACCTGTCCTTTGTCGCAAGTAAGATTGTGATGAGCGGCTTGGATGTAATCAGAGTATATTGTGAGTAAAAACGCTGCGTTTGAAACGTATTGCATGTTGTTCCATTGGCGGATGTACAATAATCCTCCTGGGGTGCGTTGCACGTTGGTTACATTGTTTTTGTCAAGGCAAGCACACATGTAAAACTCTGCTTTAGAACGGTACTGTTGCAGTAGGTGCATGTGTTGCTTGTGCTTCTCTTCCTTTAGAAACTGGAAAAGAAAACGTATGTGAGAGAATTGAAACCATCAAGTTAAATATTTGTAAATATTACAAATCACATGGTAAATCACATCTATAATAGAGGATCCCAAAGCTCGTCGGCGTAAGTAACTGGGAGTCTTAGATGCAATATTTGCGGTGAGGTGATGTTGCATTATGAGCCTCACAATACATAATTGGTTCATGAAAATCTATGCGCATAAACTTATTATAATTTTTTTTAGCAAAAAAGAATTAGCAATACAAGAAAAATTGACAATCGATTATTTTCACAAAATGCGTTGTGTAAAACCCTACAATTTGCTAACCCATTAGCCACTGATATGCTTTTTACCCGCTCTATTTGCTTACTAGTACAGAGTTTATAGCATTATGTAAAACTAATATTAGCGATTATTGTCGGTTTTTCTTGTAGTGTATAAACGTAGCAAAGGTTAAGTTTATTTACCATTGAAGCAATGATTTGAACACCAGCATACTTAACATCCCAGCTGAACTCTTTGATGGCCCAAGTAGTGCCCCCAAGAGACTGAGCATTGTTCAAAACATAGTTCAAATAATCCTCATTGTTTGTGGCTTTGTACAACCACAAAGCTGCCCAAAGCAACTCATCCATGTAACCACTCCAAGATGTGTAGTGCCCTTTCACCACTTCAATACTCTCATCATACTTCCCTCTATATTTGTCACCAAATTCAAACAACTGCCAACAAATCCAATTCCCTGATTAGTTATTAATGTTCAATACATTGAATAAATTTGTAAAAAATATTTGAAAGTGCATAGTTTGACCAATACCATTATACTTTGGTAACCAGTACACCAACCTTTGCATAGATGTATATCAACCTATAGGGCAACATCACACTAATTAAATATGTTACCTGTTGTGCATGGTGTAGAAGTAGGCCAGAGTAATGTGGGTTGGTTTTCCTAAACACAATGGCAGCCGCTGCCGTAGCGGCCGCAGTCTCACCGGCAATATCTGATCCGGGATGATTCCCATCAACCTTGTAGGCTTGTCGAGAGGTCGTCATGTCCTCCGGCCTTTGCCAACAGTAGTGATCAGTAGATCCATCGCCAACCTAACAATCATATACGCAATAAAGTTATTGAAGAACTCGAAGTTCTTGATAGTTTGAAATATTATGTTGCAAACTTAATCTATACCACATTTAATTTAAAATTCTAATAACAAGTCAGACTGTGAGATGTTTCCACAGTTTTATTTCATTATTACCTCAGCCCACAAAACATTTGGGTGAGTATGAGCCTTGATGAAATAGTCAGTCCCCCATTTGATAGCTGCTAAGGCATGATTGTACTCTCCAGCATCCTCCATTTGTTTGCCGTACTCAATTACACCCCAAGAGAGCATTGTTATTGTAAAAGCCATTGGCAGACCAAATTTCACATTATCACCAGCATCATAGTACCCTCCCACCAAGTCTACCTGAAAAATATACATGAACACATACGCCAAACAAAATACATCACACCAATCACGTATACACCTTATTTAAACGATAATTACGATTGACGAATGCTAACCAATTGAGCTACTAACATGTTGAATATGATTGATGAGTTGTAATGATAAAATGGATGACTGACCCCTTGTTCTAGGCCATCGTTGAGGCCGGAATGGTGACGCCAGGTGACCCGTTGGTTGTGGGGCAAGCGGCCGGAACGTTGGGACTCAAAGTAGAGGAGACTCTTGGAGAGAGCTTCGCCGTAGTCGAAGGACTGAGACAAGGAAAAGAGTGTGAAAATGGAGAGTAGAGAAAACCATTGGAGGACAATACCTTGCTTCATGACCTCCGTAATAATATTGTGTTTCTCACTCTCTTTCCTTCCTAGCCCTCCCACAGGATCCCCTATTTATACTCCTGCTCAATTCGTGGGAGGTCAAGACCACGCGAGCTTAAATGGATGCCCCCCATTTGATTGGTTCAGTTAGCAAATCAACATGTTTTTTTTTTATACAACACAATAAGAGGTGAGTGAATAATGATCATAATTTATAAGCAATTGATTATGATGGCCTTATTTTTTAAGCAAGATTTCTATTTATTTTGGAACCCCGGACTTTATCCGGGTGTCCTTTTTAAAGATTCTATTAGGATTAATCATGTCAATAAAATTCTACCGCTTCAACTAAAAAAATGCATACTCAACAAATGAAAAACATTATAGTTGTGTCCACAAATTGGTAGGTGATTCTGAATCACATATTAGAACATATCTTATAATATGAAACTCATTTCTATCAATAATTTACAGTCGTTAAAATATAATTAAATTAAATCAATAATAAATAGGAATTAGAAGCAAAAAAATTCCACAAAATAAAAGACTCCTGATTGAGCCTTGAAATTGACTAAATACATGCAAGTGCTCCCACGCGAAATCAGGTTTACCTAATCAACGTTTTGACCAAATTCAGGTAATAATATCTGGCATAATTGTGCCCCAAATATTTTATTCGCCAGATTTTGGTAGCATAGTGTCTGGAGGCAGTGTTGGTTTTATAAGACGTTGGTTGGGCATTTAAATTTGGAAAGCCGACGTATCCTACAAATATAATTTTTGAATAATTTTACGAGTGTATTAATTATCAAATGTCAATTAAATTTACATTTTTCTATTTTTCTTTTTTATGCATCCATACATCTCTACTAGTCTCTAATCTCTAATCTCTAATATTAAAAAACCAAAAATTTATTTAGTATCCCAAGACTTTAAAATATTTGAACATAAAATCCCTCAAACAAAAAAATGAACAACTGAAGGGAAAATCCTGGGAAATGAAAATAAATCAACGTGAAAAAAAAAATGTGGAAGGAGAGGGAGAAAGCCAAACTGAAGGACGTGGTTTATACACTGATACATCTCCTCGTAAGTTTTTAGATTCTTTGGAGAGTTTGAACAACATTATTACTAAGCGTACTCCTAATATAGATAATATCATTTGTTCAAATAAAAAATAAAAATAAAAGGGATATAATTTTTAGAGAAATGTTATTAGCAATTCAAAAATCTCATTCTACACTTGTATTTTTCTTTCTAAATATAGAATATTTTTCTTTCTAAATATAGAAAGTTTGGAGTGTAGAATGATAATTTTGAAGTGCCAATAACAATTCCTAATTTTTAAAGGGGCATTTTTGTAAAACAATAAGCCAGATAATCAAAGAACAAAAAAAAAAAAAAAGAGAATAAAACGAAGAAATAAAAACCTGCAACTCCACAGGAGGGAAGTTGAACATGGTGTGGTTTGAAACTGCTATGTGCAGTTGCTTTTTTGATTTATCGCTTTCTTCCACCTGTCAAAAACTGAATCCAAGGGGGGGCCGAACCAACTCCTCCTCCATCTTAGGAGAGAGAAGGGGTGAGAAAAAAGGTGGAAGAAACTGACTGTTGTTGCCGTCAGTATTCAAACCCTATTGATAATCACAAGTCCCATCACAAGAATCTGACAGCAGTTTTCAAACCCCATCGATAATGACAAGGAAGATCACAAACTCTGCGTTTGGGGTTTCTCCATCTCTAGAGAAAGAAGCGGCTCTGGAATCGGAGGCTGAGACAGTAAGAGCGGGATTGAATGCATGCTTGGAACGAGGTTTTGCTAATGCAGTGGTTGTATGTGGTTGTGAGAGGGGAAGACAACGGAGATGGGTAGAAGGGATTATCCATGACATTCGTGTCCTTGCTTCCCATTTGCAAACCCTTGTGTTTGGCAGCTTGGCCTGGCTTCTATCCTCGAAGGTGCAGTAATCAAGCGGTGGACGTCCACCCGTGTTCCAGTTAGTGATTATTGCAGAAGCGTGATGTACCACCGTATTTCGATCACAATGAAAATTTCTTCATGTAGCTACGTTTGGTTCTAAAGGAGAGAGTGTTATGAGTGGGATGCCTCTGAAGCCATTCCGACTCTTAAATATTTTTGTTGTTGATGTTAATAAATTACCCTATCGGTTGACAAAAAGAGTGCCGTCCACACCAATTTTTCACCCGCAATGGTTCTATTCAAACTCAACAAAGAATTAGTCTCAATTGCGTCACCAATTAATAAATGTTCGCCACAGCCTTTACGTGATATGTAATAAGCGAATACATAAAACAAGAGGTGGGGGTTGGATCAGAAAATTCCATTTCACAGCAAAGAAAACTTGGTAGAATGTTGCATATGCTCTCCACATTTTGGTCCCCTGGTTTGGCAATAGGCCAGCCAAGGTCTTCTGATGGGATGTCGCAACCATCACAGTCGGTCCATCAGGTTAGATGCCGCCACCCTCTACCCCTTAATTTCTTGAAAACAATCCATGGTCGTAAGCTGGTAATCGCGGTGCAGAAGGAGTTGCAAGATGGAAGACCATAAAGTATTTCGATGTTAAACAGAGAGTGTACTGTTCAAGTATTTCGATGGAACATCAAACAACTCAAATATACCAAGCAAATGCAACAGGCAGAGCACTCTTTAACAATAAGTTGGCGTTGCCCCAAATTTCATCCAAAAAAACAGAGTACTATGACAGCTATTGAAAGGTAAAATACTATTTCAATAAGTTTTACCAGAAGAACTACTAAAACACTCAAATTTAAGAGCTTGTTTGGTGTCTAGTAATGCAACGGATTAGCTAAAGAAACCCCTAAATGATCCTACGATGACCTGACAGCAGAGAAGCTTAGAGAGGACAAACTGCTTCCTAATGCAAAAGGGCGAAAAACGTAAGCTGGGCTGGAAAACAAAAGTGAAGCAGCAGCTAAGAACGAATTAAATGCTAACAACACTTCATCAAGTGTCAATGACGACAAAGTTGTGTCACAATGCCGTTGATTTTTGATGTGATTCATGGTCTTGTATCCAAAACCAACACTAATCACCCACGATGATCATCCTCAAGATTCAACGAGCAATTGACAAATCAGGCAACAATTTCATCTTGACAAGTCAATTGACAGCCAAGGATTTGTCACGCAGACCATCTCAAGATGCATCCATCTGCTCCCTCATGATCAAACTTCAACCATTATTCACAAACCTGTAGACCACCATAGACACACGAAAAGGAATACGAGTCGCATGAAGAACAGCCAGATACTAGTGCCAAGAATAAAAGAATAAGCCACACAGAGAGAATGTAAAGGAGAAACCATACCTCATATACTTTGAAACCATAACACCGTACTTAATACACACACAATTGCCAAGTATTGACAAACATCTAGCAATAAAGCTTAAATACAACTAGTAGCGTTGATAGATACTAAAAGTACAGACATCGCCCTTCGAGATAGTCTACACATACTTAGCGTCTACTAGGAAAACAACCTTCCATATTCATTGATTAGGCAAAAGAACCTCCAGTTTGATGCAGCATTGCATCTATTTCATCCCCATCTTCCATTTCCAACTGCAGGAGAAGAAATAATAGTCGGTCAGAATTCGAAAACCAAACATCAAAATCAACATTCACACACATACTGACATATCGGGAGAGTGAGAAAGAAACGAACCTCATCAGGGGTCTGCTCGGCTCTGAGACGACGGCCATCAAACAGGAATGCAATGGAGTTGAACTCCACCGACTGTCTGTCGCAGTAAGCATTCATAAGCTTCTTCAGCTGGGTACTTCTCTTGATCCTGAAAAACACTTCATTCCCATCCTACATAATCAAACCAACATATTCTCAGCATTAGCAATAAATCACATACAAAGAGCACCAAAGTATCCATTGTCAGCAAACCTTAAGACACTTCGTAAAATTCCAAAAATTTGTAAAGTAAAAGGAGAAAACATTCAAGGCTGATATCAAATTCCTCTTTCATAAAACAATCCCTAATATCTAAAATATTAAGAAAATAGGATCAGTTTAAGGTATACTGAACAGTAATTTCAGGCACCACATCAAAAAAAAAGGGCACATGCAAAGAAATTAAAAAAAAAAATCAAAATACCAAACATCACAAAATTTCTAAAATTTAGGAAAAATAGCAAATCCTAACTCATACGGGAAAATTCTAACAAGGGAAAATAAAAACATAAAACATAGGAAAGACAAAACATGCTTGATGAAACATTCAAAACCAAAGACATAAAAACAAAACAAAACCCAATTTTCCAGGGTATATGTTGATCAAGATTAACACAAATTTCCATAAACAGAAATAAAACCCTAATAGAGAGAGAGGACCTGGCCCTTGACTTTGAGGTTGATGTGGGCGGCCTGATCGGTGGGCTTCTTGTCCTCCTCCTGGTTCGTGACGCCTGACATTTTGCTTTGATTCTTCTCTGTGTGATCCGACTGCAGAGAGAGAGAGAGAGACAGTGTTTATGAGATGGGAGACCTAGAGAGCTACCACCACTTCCAAACACAATTCAATCATAACAAAGTTTGTGCCTCTCTCTCTCTCTCCACCCAACTGTCGTACATTATTCTAAGGCCCATTTTAGATTAATCTCTCAAATTGGGCTTCTGTTGGGTTTGGATTGGAATGCTTGTAGTCTCTAGGAGCATTATCACCTATTTAGGGAATTTGGATGTACGACTAGACTTATGATAGTTACCATTCACTTAAAATAGTAAATTGCCGTCACTTGGTAATACGATCTAATGATATTCTACTTTACTTGTACGTAAGAGATCTTAGATTAGATTCACACGAAATGCAAAGTTAAATCACATTATTATGGTAAGTCCATAGTATGGCTTAGCTCGCTCTCTTACTAATTTTGTTTAGATACTATCTTTTGTTAAAAAAATTAAAAAAATAAATAAAAAGAAGTAAATTGTGATAGTTGGTACTATTGACTCTCAGCCCATTATGAATAATGACATGGTTATTACCATTCACAATTTTTTTAATGTATAATTTAATTATTTATTTAGTATTGAACAGATGAGATTAATTTAAAAAACAAAAGTGACTATGATTATGCCACATGTCCATGTCTATCAAAATTCTTGTTTAGAATTTCATAAATGAATTTTTCTACATCTTAAAATCCTAGTAATTACATGTAACCGTTTGATTTTTGATTTTTTATTTGATTTCTTCTAATTTTTTTCTGAATATTTAAAATTTATTATCACGTGTCTATGTCTGTATTAATTTTTTTTTTTTTAGTACATTGATATTTTTACATTAGGGGGAGGGGGAGTTCGGCTAAGCCACACAATGGGCAACCTAATTTGGTATTGAATGCCATCTACAAGATTCGAACCTAAGACCTCTCACTTCCAAGTGAAGAAAAATATCACTAGATTGTAATACTGAGTGACAATTATTGTTTCTAGTATAAGTATTGTAATACCCTGATAATTTTTTTTTAAATATGTAATTAGTTATGAATTTCAAATTAATTGAAGATTATGAAATTCAAATGAATGGAAATGTGAAATCCTATTCCTGGACTCTATTATTAATTACATATTATAGTCGTATTCGGAGTTATGACGTATTTATATTTACAGAGTATATTTGTTCGAAAAGTGATAAAAAGATGAGAATGTACGAGGACGTATTTTATGCTTATATGTTTCGCCGTATTTCTTCGCATAGAGGTCGATCCTATGAGTTCGTAGGCAGAACTATTCGTGAAACGGTGTTATAACAAAGGAGATAAAAATGAGTGAAGGTAAGGGTAAAATGGTCATTTGACCATTAATCTAGAAGACTCCAGTTTTGCTAGAGCAGTAATCTGGGTGTCACACGTGTGGCTAGGTTGGAGGGAAAAAAGGAAAAATGAGGGAAATGAGAGAGGGGCTACCCAATCAGGAAATGAGGGAACCAGATCCCTCTTTTGACTCGT